TAGGCAGGTGGTTTGATAATGTGATATAGAGAATGAAAAGGGCTTTAGCTTAGGAGTCAAGAGCTTTGTCATACACTCGGCTGTACTAATAACTCACCACATAAATTTGTGTACTTTTCATAATCTATATAAGACTTGGTTTCATAATTAGAAAATGAGCATTGACCTGAATGATCATTAAGGATTCATGAAAGTCTGACATTCTACAATTCTCTTATCGATAAAAATCCTATAGATCTCAAAACAGAAGGAAGTTATAAGTACTGGCTAATAACACAAATCTGGTTTTAGAAAATTTTCTATATTCATCATGACTTAAAAATTTTGGAATCCATAACAACATAAAAAAGGTATTATAATGTAAAAAGACAACTTTTGTCATTCTGTACAGTATCAGAGATAAATGTTTTCTAATAAATTCAATTTCAATAAAATTGTTCCATTATATTCTTAACTATGGCACTCACAATTAACTTTAGCAATAACTCCAGGGATTTTTGCTTATTACCTGATAGACACACATTTCCTAGAAAGTTCATGGATGCTTTATATTTTAAAAATGTCCCATTGGAATACCATATAAATTTAGAAACATAGCCCAATAACCAAATGCCATAATCCACACATTTTCTTTTGACTTCTTGAGCTTTGTAAATCAAATCTAATCACCGTTGCATAATATATGTTGTCAGCTACTACTTGCTATTAATAATAATATGTGGTATTCCTCCTAAAACAAGTCTAAGACATTATATCACATTTGAACATAACATTTACAAGTCTCTGAAGCTGAATGGGGATGATGACACTAAATAAGTTAATAAAAAATTTTAAATCCAGAAAAAAAGCTGAAAATTAGAAATGTACTAAAAACTGGGTTTATTTCTGAGTTGGTGCTAAATCAGTCATGAACACAGTAACCATATTTAGGTTAAAAACATTCCTAAGTGGCTGAGCAGTGATTTAAAATCCACGCATCTATTGAGGTGAGGTTATGAGACTCAGGATCTTATATTATCAAAGGTACTATTTTAAATTATCTAACAAATATTACTTCCACCATTTCAAAGTGTACTTTCTCAGAAAAACTAAAGAACTATTAATCATTAATTTTAATGATTTAATATTAGGCTCTGTGGCTTACGCTTGACATATAATGTATTTTATGGATTTGTTTCAGAATTGATACATCTACGCAAATATTATTTTCACTATAGTATTTCCTGTCCAATCTAACCTTAATCACTTGTCACTCATACACAAATGCAGCCTCACATATACCAATATGTTCTTACCTAATCATATATCTGCATCCATCTGTATTGCTTTATTTCATGTTTATTTGCTTTTCTTTCTTTAGTAAAATGGCAAAACGCCTCTGTATTAGTTTCTCTTTGCTGCCTCAACAAACTGCCACACATTTGTTGCCTTAAAGGCACAAACATTTATTATCTTGCAGTTCTGGAGGTCAGAATTCTGGAATGGCTTTCACTAGTCTAAAATCAAAATATTGGAAGGGATGCATTCTTTCCAAAGCTTTTGGAACATAAAACCTTCCTTGCCTTTTCCAGGTTCTAGAGGCTACCCACATTCTTTGGCTTGTGGCCCCATTCCATCTCCAAACCCAGCAATAGCTGAATGACACTTTCTCATACCATACCATTCTGATGCTGACTTTTCTTCCTCCATCTTCCATATTTTAAGTGATTACATGTGACCAGTCTGGATAATCCAGGATAACCTCTCTATCCTAATTTCAGCTGATTTGCATCCTAATTCCATCTGCAATTTTAATTCCCCCTTTAGTACATCCCTTATGTGATGTAGTCACAGGTTCCAGGAAATAAGATGTGGAAATCTTCGGGAAGCCATTATCCTGCCTACTGCATCCTCCAACCTTTAAAATATGCATTTTGGGGAAATGGTTTTGAAAATATTAATAAAGCCTCTTGAGTATTGTGATAGGCAAACTCCAAGATGCTTCTCCCCACCCCCATGATATCCACATCCTGGTATTCATACCTTTGTGAAATCCCCTCCCTTTGAGTGTGGGTAGCCTAGTGAAATGATTCTTACAAATAGAATATGGCAAAAGTGATGGAATGTCACTTCATGATCAGGCTAAATAAAATGTGACTTTCACCTTGCTAGCAAATTCTCATGCTGGCTATGATGAACACAACGGTCGTGTTGGGGAAACCCATGTGGCAACAGCCAGCAAAGCACTGAGAACTCCAGTCAAATTGTTCTTGAAGGACTAAACGCTGTCAATCACCATCTAAGTGGCCTTGGAAGTGCATCATTAGCCAATTATATGCTTAGCTGAGGCCTTAATGCTGGCCAACTCCTTGATTACAATCTTATGAAAGACACTGAAGCAAAAGACGCACCTACACTGGATCTGGATCCCTGATACAGTTAATTTGCAATAAATGTAAGTTACTTTAAGCCACTGAATTTTGTGGTAATTTGTTACACAGTAATATATAATAAGTAGAATCTCCCTATTCATTTTCCCTAACCAAACAACACCTAGGTTGAACAATTCAGGGACGGGATATAATGTAATAAAGGAGAGAGTTTTTTTTTAAAAGTATCATCTTGACTTTTGAATTTAACTTTAGTCATCATGGGATAGAAATGTGACACATCCAGACATTTGAGAAAAAGGTGAATAGCAACAGCTTTTTACCCACCAAATAAATTAGGAGATACTCTAGTTTGAAGGAAAAGGGAACTTATCAGGAAAAGGATGAGGAAGTAGATTTGATTGTCTCCCTGAGAGAGGATACTTATTCTTTCTTTTTGGAACACGAGATTGGGAAGATGACAACTCACAGTAATATTTGAATGCAGAGGTGATACACACCCTGATGTCAGAAACAGCACGATTGATGAGACAATGTAACTAGACGTTGGATCCAGATAGAATATGAATACTATTTCATTGATTGCATACACCACAGCTGGCTTATGTTTTCATCCATGGATGGACATTCAAGTTATTTCCAACTTTCGCTATTGTGAATGGTGCTTCTGTAATGGGCTGAGTCAGACAGAGTAATGCCCTGAAGGTGCTCCTCAGGTGGAGGCTCCAGGAATAAGCAGGAATGACTTCCTGGGATTTTAGGCACCCTGCCGCTTCGGAGGTGAACACCTGGTCCTGAGAAAAATGAAATGGTGTGTCTGGGTGGTTGGGGCACTGGAGCTTGGCACAGGCGTGATTGAGAAGCAGGTGTTTCACAGCAGGATCCTGTTTTGCCGCCCAGGCACTTGGTTTCTGGTACGCCTGTGTCTGCCGCTCCCGCGTGCGCATTGCACGCCCCAGTTGCGGCCTCCAGAGGTCCCTCCAGGGTGCGGCCTGTGGGCGGAGCCCTCCTTGACCCCTAGTCAGGTCTCCAGGGCATGGCTCCACCACCTCGTCACCCTGGGGTGTGAAGCAGGGCACACGAGCCACAGGGGTCCTCACCGCAGGCTGTGTGAGCCAGATTCCCCGCAGAGGAGTCTGGCATCAGCAGCACCCGGGGCCCCTCCGCTCCAGAGATCCCACGAGACTGAGATTAGGCTTCTTCCGGGAGGCGTGCCCCTGGCTTCAAGGCCTGATGCCACCAGTCTCTGCCAGTCTCTGATGCTTGGCGCCTACCAGCCCACTCTCTCCCTGCGCTTCCATCAGGACGAGAGTTTACTCACCCCACAACCTGAAGTCACCTGGCGCACCCTGCTGGGCTCCAACCGTGCTGTGTTTGCCTTCCTGCCCTGCCCTCCACCTGCCTGGACCAGGCTCCGGGGCCCTCGCCTGCAGGTGTCACCCCATGGTGTTAAAAATAAATTGCATTTATTTGAACAACCGTTTTAATTCTTTGTGTATATACCTGGGAGTGGAACTGCTGAGTCATATGAAAATTTTGCTTAACCTTTTTAAGAACCACTAAATGATTTTCCATAGCAGCTGTGCCATGTTAAATTCCCATCAGCAAATGCAGGGTTCCAATTTCTTCACATCCACACCAACACTGATATTTTCTATTTTTTGATTAAAATATCGTAATTGATGTGAAGTGCTCTCTCATTATGGTTTTGCTTTGTTTCCCTAATGACTGATGAATGACACAGAATCTTTTCATATGCTTATTGGCCCTTTGTATATCTTCACTGGAGAAATGTCTAAGTCCTTTGCTCATCTTTTTAGTTGGGTTATTCTCTATGTTGCTAAGTTCTCAGAGTTCTTTACATATCATGGAATCTAGACCTTTTCCAGATACATACATGATTGGCAAATATTTTCTCCTATACTGTAGGTTGTCTTTTCACTTCATTAATAATGCCTTTTAATGCACAAGTTTTTAATTTCTATGAAGTTCAATTTATTTTTTTTTCCTTTTGTTGCTTTTACTTTTGGTATCACTTCATTGCTAAACCCAAGGTTAGGAAGATTTACCCCTATCTTCTTTTCTAAGAGGTTTTATCACTTTAGGTCTTATATTTAGGTCATTGGTTCATTTGCATTAATTTTGTATGTGGTATGAGGTGAGAGTCCAACTTTACGCTTTTGTGTGTGAATATTCAGTTGTCCCAATGAGTGTTAAAAAGGCTATTCTTTTGCATTAAGTGATTGGACACCTTTGCCAAAAATCAGTTGGTTATAGATATTTGAGTTTATTTCTGGGCTGTTGTAGTAAAGTATAAAATGTTAAGGCCTGCTCGGAGTCATATGAGTTTACCAGGCTCAAGGTATGGACCCCTTTCCCGGAGGAGCTGGCCACTCCTCAGGGAGAAGGGAAAAACAACCCTGGGCTGCGTGCCCAGGATACTGATCCTTGGGACCTACCCAAGATATTTATCCTTGGAAACGTGCCTAGAACAATTATATAATAACATGTCATGTGCTTGGCCCCGGCTCTTGGCCAGATGTGAGTCCATACATGACTCATGCATGCGCCTATTGGCACTGAGCCTCTTTTGTTTAAACTAGCATAAATATTAGCCTAGAAAAAACCATGAGCAGCCTTCCCTCGATTGCTTTGTGAGTACTGCTGCTGCCTTGTCGTCCTCCCCTGAGACTTGCCCTTGGTGATTTGTTTCCCAGTGCTGATGATGGGGTCCTAGTGGTATGATGAACTGATTCTTTCTTTCTTGTCCTTCCTTTTTTGTTTTTTTCCCAAAACTTCTCTGTGTCTCCCTCTTCTCACTTATCTCCCTCCCCCTCTTTTAATAAAGTGAAAGTATACTAAACAGCTGCGGCTTGTGGTGGTGTGTCTTGCATATCGAGCCCAAATTAGCATTTAAGCCTGTGCACAGCAATTGATAAACTGATTATCAATACAGCTCTCAGTTCTATTCCATTAGTCTGTATGTCCATACTCATGCCAGTACCACACTGTTTTGACCACTGTAGCTTTGTAGTAAATTTTGAAATTGGGAAGTGTGTCAAACTCAAATCTTCTGCTTTTTCAATGTTGTTTTGCAATTACAGATGAATTTAAGAATTCATTTTTTCATTTGTGCAAAAAAAAAAAGACCATCAAGATTTGATAGAGACTGCAGTGAATCTGTAGATTGCCTATGGCCACTAGTAAATCTTGCAATCCACAAACATGAATGTCTTTCCATCTAATTGTGTCTTCTATATTTCTTTCATCAATGTTTGTAGTTTGGGTATAAACTTCTTTACCTCTTTGGTTACATTCACTCCTAGGTATTTTATTTCTTTGAATGTTATTGTAAGTAGAATTGTTTTCATAATTTCTTTTTCAGATTGTTCATTACATGTGTGCAGAAACAGAACTGATTTTTGTGTTTTGATCTTGTACCCTGAAACTTTTCTGAATTTGTTCATTAGCTCTAGTGCATTACCAGTTCTTTGTTGATTGTTTAGGGTTTCCTATATATTGAGCCATGTCATCTGCAAATGGAGATAATTTACTTCCTTCTTTCTAACTGGGATGCTTTTTATTTATTTTTGCTGCCTAATTCTCTGTCTAGAACTTACAGTATATAAGGCATGAATAACCATGGTGAGAGTGGACATCCTTGTACTTTTCTAAGTTTCAGGGCAAGATTTTAGTCTTTTACCAATGTACATTGTTAGCTGTGAGTTTTTCAAAAATGCCCTTTGTTAAAGAAGTTCAATTGCTTTCATGTTTTGTGTTTTGGTTTGTTTCTTGTTTGTGTATTTATTTTTATCATGAAGGGTGTTGGATTTTGTCAAATACTTTTTCTGTGTTTATTGAGATGATCATGTTTGTTTGTTTCCCATTCTTCTTTTTCAGCCTTTGCTGTGAAAACCACTGAGTCCTGGACCAAATAGCCACTCTTTCATGCACTGATGTATCAACTAACAAGTGACCATTTGTATGTGCCTTCTGTGAGCCCTTCTGTACAAGAATGTGAGGCCACAGATTTAGAGCCAAGCACTAGATTGATAAACCAGACCCAGTGTTATTGTCTGTCTCCATTACTTTTGGACTTGGAGAAAAGCCAGACTTTGGGCTAAAGGAAGTGGCTTAATGATACAACTTGAAAGGCATGGCCTATCATTAGAGTAAAACTTTAACTGAGGGAAAATAGCAGACTAGAATAATAGGAACCAAGAAAGTAAGTTTATTTTTCTCCTTCCCACCCAAGGACTATTCTACACACAGAACTTCATGAAGCCTCTGTGAAGACATTATTGAAGGCCAAGCAATGAGCCTTCCTTGTAATGAAGAACAACTGTCAGTTCTCTCATGGCTCTTTCCTGCTTGGTCTCTATCCTTCTGGCCACACACACTTCTGCTTCTCTGATATTGTGTTTTTCAAAATAGCATAGCAGTATGCATTTTAGTCTCTTTTTTCTACAAAATACTGGACAAGACATTAAAATAAAGAGTTGTTTTTTTTTTTAATGTGTGTTGTACCCATCCAAATGTGTGAGCCAAGATCCACCACCACTATTCATGGCATCACTAGCCATCCAAATTCCAAATCTCTAATTACCATTAGCAATATAACTTAGGGGCTTAAATTTGGCTAATTGTTGTCACCAGGAAAAATACCTACAAACATAAGGTTACTAAATTCATCTATTCAAACATATATGAAATGGTCGACAATGTTCTGGGTATTAGGTAAAATGTCACCACTTGCAAATAGAGCAAAAAGCCATGGCTGGTTTCCTTGATGGGTTAATCACTGACTGGAATTACATGCATGCTTTTGGGCTTGTGGTCATTTAAAAATTAAGGTCCAATCAGAGAGAGACTTGCTCCATTTCTTTCTTTTTAGTCGCAAGTATTGCAAAATCTTTTTACCAATGATTTCAAAGTTAGGCAAGTTCACTCTGATGAAAGGATCTGAGCATGATCAGAAATGGAGTGATTACAGTATGATGGATAAAGCACAGCAAGAGATGGTCGGGTGGCATAGATGTAAACAGAAGATGGCATGGTCTTCTTATACCACTTAATGTTTTAGTCATTTTGAACAACTTACTTTTACTCTTTTACATTTTCAGGTAGTCTTATTCATTTTCTATCCCTAGTGTGCATCTCCTCTCTAAATACTTTGGTCTGATTTGAAACAGAACGTCACTGCATAGGCCATAATTTCATACCTATCTATTTATACCTGATGTTCTTATATGTGGAAGCTACTAGATGTGAAAGAAATTATTCTGTTTTTATATAATTTTTTAAATAATTTGATTTCATTAAAATTTCTTATTCTTCCAAATAAGTAGGACATAAGATTGGAGCACTGGACAAGAGCTGGATAGGGAAGTCCTTAGGCTTATGGGAGTAGGTCTTGGAATACACTCTGTTACCTGTACTTTGGCTACAGGTTGTAGAGAAGCCAAGTGAAGACAAAAATGACAGTGTATCTGAGGACAGAAATCAGAGAATAAAATGGGGTATTTAGCCTATAGTCTTGAGTAGGATTTCTGTGATATTTTTCAAGTTACTCAATCTCACTGTGCTTCTGTTTCCTCACCTTAAAATCATGGATAATAGTAGTGCTACTCTCATAAAGGTGTTGTGGCGATGATGTTATAAAAGTGAGAACACTGCATGTGCACAGTAAAACTTAGCTATTATCACTGGTCACCCAACGTGAACTGTTAAGGCATTAAGAACAAGATCCCAGGTATGTAAGACAAGGATAAAAAAACAATAAGGAGAAAAATCTGTTTAAACGGGGAGGTAAGGGGTATATCCTCTTGTGATACAATATATATAGAATTAAAAAGGAGTATGTAGCCTTGAGAAGATTATTGGGTCTTCTTTGGTGACATAAAACAGTCTTCTTTGGCCTCATTGTATGAACTGTCCAAACCTCTTAGCATACAAGCATTTTAACATAATATCAGACATTAAAAGAAACTCTAAAAACAGTCAGTAACTCAGACAGTTATTTATAAAATATGTAAGAGAGCCAGATAGTGGTTATTTTGTAAATCAGTCTAAATTATTTGTTCATTAATTTACCAACTAGAGTCTATTCAATTATTTGTGTTGATAAGATCCATGTACATTCCATGATGCTGACCAACTTTAAGATATAAAAGAAGTACCCACATTTTTAAGGTTTTAAGAAGACAGAAAAGAAATGAAGTTTTCTACTAGGAATAATTAAATTGTTTCATCTCTTATAAAAGTTTTTCTTAGAGGAAAAGCTGAAATTGGCTTTATGCATCCTTTTTAAAATTATCTCAAATACTGACATTTCCAAAATTAGACTGGAAGGATTATGAGACAGAGAAATGATAGATCAGCTTATCTTATAAAGCTGTTGGTGGTAACATTACAGAATCATCAGTGGAAATGTTAGATTTGCTGTAAATATAATATTGAAGAAATCACTAACTTTTGCATATTCTTATTAATACTAAATCTCTTCATCATCTGAGGGAGAAAGTCTTTTATCTGAACTCATCTTTTTCTTGCTTTAAATATACACTATTTTTAATTAGTGTAAAACTAAGAACTGTGCTAATTAATCAGATAAAGGAGATTACATTTGGACCATCAATCAGTTTTAAAATGGGACTTCAATTAAATCAGTTATGCTGGCAGAGAATTTGTGGGCCTATTCAATAAAGCCTCTTCTTAGGAGTCTTCACCTTAGGGAAACAACTATAAAATAATTTTAAAGATCCTTCCTGAGGCTGACCTTAAACATGAGTTGCTGACTGATTCAATATGATTTGAAAGGCCTCTATATCATTTTCTATCTCTTCATTTAGTACTCTTCCCAGCCTGCTAAGAATAATAGAAGGTTTCTTTATACATTATTTTGAAAATTGAGACAGGTAGAAAAAAACAGAAAAAGAAGGCTAGCTTGGTTTAAGATAAATACACAAACAAATGTTGTAATTTCACCTTGCTTTGCTTTACTCAGACCACAAATTTGGCTTTGTTCACTTTAGCAGTGAATGCAAAGAGGGAGATATGATCAATGACACAATTTACTGTGGTCATAAAATAAAAACTTATCAGAATACCTCTTTACAACTCAGTAAATTCATACTTAATAATGCCTTAAATTCTTTTAACTTGAGGTAAAAAGTATCTTATTGAAATAGCAAGGCTGAGAATGAAAATGCAAATAATTTGGGTTTGCTAATCATTAACTTAAATCTAAATTCATATTTGAATTTATATATGGTACAATAACTTCTTTTAATCTTTTTTTTTTTTTACCAGTTTCCCAAACATTCGATTACTTTCTACATAAACTGCACAACCTTGCTAGCCAGGTTCACCAGTAGGTGTGGTGGTGGAATGCTCAGTAGCCCACTGTCCCATTCAGACTTTCCAGTTTTCTGTGTTAATTTCTTCCAAATGTTACACACCTTATGCAAATACACAGCCAATGAGGGTCCACTCTCTCCTTTCTGCCTTCATCTTTTTCCTCCATTATGGATGGGATAGAAGAAATCTTATCATCTTAGAGTATTCCAGACATCTTTTTCTCTTCTTTCACGTGGCTGCTGTGCCTAGACCTTCTCATTCTAGAGCTACATTTCGGACTACAATCTAGTTCAGCAATAGGCTACAGAGTTAACAATTTATTTTTGTCAAAACTTGCTTCCTCTGACTTTAGTGACCGTATTTCATCTTGGTCTTTCCTCAGGTTGCATTGATAAGATCTCCCCTTGAATCAGGGGAAGGTAAAGAGATATTAAAACTAGATACTAATTCACAATTTAATGGCCATTTCTCTGTAGGCTGAAAAAATGTCACATGGGAGAAGAATATTTTTGATTTACATATTAAGTTTAGACTAATTGAGACTCCTACACTGCAAAGGTGGCTGCTAGGTTAGTAAGAGTCTTTGGTCCTAATTAAGACTCAAATCTTACTTGCCCATTTTGAGTTATTGGAGAATCTTTCTCTGACATCCATTCTTCATTCTTATCAAGTTTTGAACTGAATCTAAGGCAAAGATGGTATGGATTCCCATATGTATAAATTGTTAAAATAATTGACAAGTAGACCTTCCAATAGTTGTGGAATATTAGCAACTAAGACTTTAACTTCAACTGAAGTTTAGTGAATATTTTATCAGTGAACTTTTTGCAGGGTCGTAGAGATACACGCTCATTCAGTTTTACAAGAAATGTGAATTGCCTTATTTAAAGGCATAAGGGGAGTAGGTGGAGAAGGGAAGAATGAGGAGAAGGGGGAAGGAAAGGCAAGGAAAAGAAGGGAAGGACAAATGATCTGCTGTCTTTCACCCTCTCTTTATCTGCTGTGCTCAGGTAGTGAGAAAGACCTAACTTTATTAAATCAGTAACATCCAATAATGTAAGCCAATTATTGAAGCACTGGAGATTCAGTGTGGATACCCCAAACTAGTACTCAATTTTTTAGCTTTTTCCTTCTCTATGGCTTCTCTCTAAGGTGGCAGCAGGGAGTATAGAGGATGTATGTGAACCTTATCACAAGCAGAAAAGAAGGAACCACAGATTCACTTACTGTCCTCTGGAACCTCTTTTGGCTGAGGAGTGGCTGTTCTTGCCTGCCTCAGGACTGTGATAAATAAAGCAGAATTGTCAAATCTGGGTTTTTGAGTTCAGGGAAAAGCCCAAATCCTTACAGTACTGTAAAGACCCTTTAAGCTCTGCCCTTCTTTACATTGCTGCCCTCATCTCCTTGAATCGCCTCCCTTGCTCTCTCCATTCCAGCCACATGGCCTTCGTATGCCTCTACTGTGCTGAGCACGCTCCACTTCAGAGTATTTTCACGTGCCCTTCCTTCTACCTGAAGTGCTCCTCCCCCAGATATCCTCATGGTCTTTAGTTCTTTGTTTTCAAAGCAGCTCCCAATCTAGTCACTTCTATTCCTCAACCTCCTAAATGTCTTCATAGTATTTATTAACATACATAACTATTCATGCATTTCTGTTAACTTTTCCCATACTAGTGAATGTGCTTATAAAAAGAACATGTCTATAAAATTCTGTCAGTTATACCTAGAGAAATATGACATTTTATAGTTTTGAATTTTTTTTAAATGTTGAATGAATGGATAAATAAAAATTATCTTGCCACATTGTTTTAAGTGGTCTCATGTAAATGTTTTGCTATAGGCTGACATCCTAGTTCTCATATACCTGAGATCAGATGTCATTAGCTTTTCTAATAGCTTTGAGCTGTACAATTGGCTTTGAGTGGCTATATCTAAACCAATCTAACAATTATGCTTCCTATGTTCATATATATCAATAATATTATGTTCTCCCATTTCTTCTGTAATCTCCTTTTGAATTTTTCAAATACCACTTCATATTTATCAAATGCTTCTATCCCAAATCCCTATCAGGTAGGCAAAGATGGAAATTTCCAACTTAACACATGTATACACTCAAATAACTACTCTTATTGCAAGGTACATGTGGTTAGA